TCTAGCCCTTCAGTTCTTACGATTCTTATGGAGTTCGACATCTTCTTTGGTTCGGAGCATCGCTTGGTCCCTGGCGTTCGCCAAACAGTTGATACGTGGTTCTACAAACGGTCTCGTCTTCACATAGGATCCGACAAGCCATTTCACTCGTACCTTGGCGGAGTCTACATGAATGAGTAGCAGAGCTACCTACGTTTTTCAGGTGATATCTGAGGAAATTACGACCCTTACGACCCGACGAAGGCTTAATTTTTTAGATGTTAGTCCAAATAGTGAATTCACATATTTTAGATTGAGACTTTAAATCGATTTGATGGGTTTCGTGTGTCTGTGCAAATATATATTAATACTTACTGCCGATATTTTGAAAATCGCGAAACCATCAAACTTGTCGCACTTTATGGTAAATCTTGAATAATCGCCATCTTAGACATCGTCAACGTTTTATGTTAAATAGCCGGCCGAGATCATGTTTACAAGTAACAGTAACAGTGGGCGTGTTCATCCGTCTGTCCATTCTCGAAGTTCTATTATTAGCATGACAAACGTCGGTTTTTTATTGGGCATCCAGAATATTTTCATGACAAAATTCATTCGCAGTCTCGCGTTGATCAAGATTGTTGCCAATTTTTTGGATATTGGATTACAGAGATTTTTGAATAGAATAAAAATGACAGATCTTTTATTTACACAAAGTCAACGGCTCATCTTTAATTGTTTTACTGTTAACTAACAAGTTATTAACTTCCAAGGGCATGTGAGCTGCGGTACATTCACGCTTCGCATATCGCCAGTCTTCCTGTTAATCCCTTTTTTGAAAAAAACTAGTCAGTGCTACAAGGCGAACGAAGTTAAAGTCCAAAATGAAAAAAAGGAAGAGGAAAATGAAAATGAAAATAAAAGCAGGAGGCTCAGCCTTTACAATGCTAAATTGCAATTTAAATTGCCAGCTGCGACAACAATTGATTTATCATTTTTGTTGTTGTTGTTTTCTGTCTTTGGTCTCCGCAATTATAAACCAATTCATGGGCAAGAGGCGAATATTGATTTCTTGTGTATGTACATTTTGAAAGGAGTGTGATTTGTGCTCTTTGTCCTGCGATAGTGCGTAAGTCGCACTTAATCATATCTAAGAGATGGTTTGGAACGGGCTATTGTGAAAATAGAAGGATCCTCTTAAGCAGAAGAATTGTATTGCGAGGCACAATGCTCGAATCGAACAATGGATAGGTTTGCTAGTTTATCATTTGCTTTCGTTTATCAAATAATCTAAAGGATTTTCAGAATTAAAAACCTAACCATCATAGTCTGCCCGATGCTGTACCTCGCTTTTTATTCGTTTATTGAGAGAGTAAACATGATTTTGAAATCATAGAAAGACTTTATAGACAGAATCTCCGAGAGAATGCTTTTTTAATGTTTTATATCGAGAGAGAACTAATTCTCAATGAACTGCATTTGAATTGGTTCTCTTTGATTGTAATGCATTTTTATTGCTTATTGTAACTACATATATACGCACATAAGCACATGCAAGTATATTGCTATTGTTATCACTTATGCTTATGCTTAGGCTTATGCATGTTTGCGATGGCTTAGGGGTTCATTTGCAATTTGATCCTGTACCGGTTGTAAGTGTGCTCCTATGCTGATAGTGTACATGCTTTTTTTTTCTTTTTTCTTTTTCTTTTTTTTTTTTTTCTTCTTATTTGTTTTATTATGCTTATACTCAATTTTATTGTTAATTAATATTAGTTTTGCATTAAGAGCCTATTGAACTCGACTGCTATTTGTTTAGTTGAGTTTCTAGTATAAGTGGAATAAAATAAATAAATAAATAAATAAATAAATAAATAAATCACTGTCTCCACATCTATGCAACCAGTGTATATATATGCGTATATGAATTAGTTTGGTCTAAATTTCTTCTTTGTCTTCTTCTTCTTCTTCTTTGTTCTCTTTTTCACTCGCAAACATCGTCGCAGCCATTTATTTCGGCGTTCGAATTCTCTCTTTTGTCGGTATTATATGTCGATGTTCTTTGGTAAAGCAATACTCGCCGTCAAGATATTAACAACTCCATTACAAATAGCCTTAAGCCTTTAGTTGCTGTCAATTATTATTTATTTTAAGAAAAAAAAAAAAAAAAAAATTTTTATTGTTTAACAAGCGTAATGTTCGAAAATGAAGAAGAAGAAATACTTACGAAAGTAGCAGCATTGCTTTCATTTATTTACTTATTTCTTTGATATGCGGATAAGCACGAGATGCAAGTTGAAGCCAAAAATAGGAAAAACAAAAACTCTTCTTTTTCAGTCAAACATTATTTTCCTCGTTTTGTGGTAAAGTTTTAAATAAATTTGCACCAACTAATAAAGAGTACAAGAGCACGAGAGCACAGCAGGAGCGAGAAATAATATCGTGAGTTACTGAAATCAAAAAAAAAGACCGAGGAAGAGAGAGAGAGAGAGAGAGAGACAATTAATATGTTGTCACTACGTAGGGGGTTGAGATCATTATTCTATACGTGACAGTAAGACGGAGGTATATTATTGACAAGCGTAAGAGACCGCGTACTCATACAGTTTCTTCAATTGGGCTCATTTTCATTGGCTCCTGCCTACATAATGGTTCAACTTTTTTTTTTTTTGGCTTCTCAAAGTTTTGCCATATACATAATTGTGAAACACTTAAAACTTAAACAACTTTTGCCATTCAACCACGTGTTTATGAATATATGCGCTAAGTATTAGAGGTATGCAGACGTTGCGTCAAGGAAATTTCAAGAGTGAATTCTAATCGACATATTCATTTCTAATGTTCCGGCGCTGATAAGATGGGGAAGCGCAAGAAATAATGAGCATATTACGGTTGTAAAGGGCAATGGTAGTGTGATGACCAAACTTTACCAGCCGCGTAATTATGGGCGGTTCTGGCAATGACGTGAATTTCCGGTCAAGCCTTCAATGCATTCTTGAGCATCATCACATTCTAAATCGATTTAGATAGGTCCATCTGTCGGTCTGTTAAATGTCGGAGATATAAAAATTTTCCCGGTCATAAAAACGAAGCTATCGAAACATTGGATGTTCTTTCATTGGATGTCGATCGGAAAACACGCTCGGTATATGTCACATAAACTGAGAATATCTCGGTTTTCAAAATCAAAAACGTTTCCACGTACATTCTATGTCGGAAAAGTCGATCACCTAGTCGCGTCCTTAGTATTATGGAAAATATACAAATTTTATATTTTTAAGAAAAATGTGGTGAGCATAAATAACTTGGCTATAGTCGAATATAATTTTCGTAATTGTTATAATTTACTTTGTATGGATTAGGCCAGTATGTGCGTGCACAGTAGTCAGTGCCAGCGGTATAACTTTGTTGCTTTATAAATACAATGCGCAATTTAATTCTTTTATGTACATATTTCCATTTTTTTAATTTTTATTATGCGCTAAAATTCATCTCAGTAGACGGAATAAGTCCTATGCCCTTTATGTAACAACGCGGATCGCTTTAAGTGAAACACACAAATTTTTTACACAAGTACACGAATATTGCGATTGTAAGCGAATGTATTAATGGGTCGAATAGCTTCTTGTTTAAAGAAATCCTGCGTATTTTATGACCTAACGCAGTGTTATGACCTAATTGAAATAACTCTGTCTACTCATTTAAATTTGGGTTTTTGTTATCCTACTATTAAAGATATCGGCAAAAAGCTGCTGAACACAACTGGCACACCTACTGCCTTCGATTGATTTCGCAGACCAATCTACAAGATGAACGCAGTTGGGCGGTTCTGGCAAGTGCGCTTATCACAGTTAAAAACACAAATAATCTCAAAAGGTCGGTTAAAGTTTTAATTAACGATTTAAGATTGCGAAGAAGGAGAGTCTTTATGCGTACTCCTTGAAAGTTTAAGCAGACGAAGTCCACCGACCCATCGGTTAATTTACAAGTGAGTCCCGGCAATCCTGCAAGTGAGAGAGGACCTGTAGCAAGACTGGAGAACCAAATAGGAAAGCTTTGGCATGGTCCAAACCTTCTGCCTATCATGCACTTGGGGATAATCGAAGCCGCCATGTGCACGTCCCGACGAACCGCATCCAATAGTCAGGCTTTGCACGTCAGCTCCACCGTTTTACAGCGTCACCATTCCTGTTTAGCAACAACAAAGCACATGGGGTATTAAAGTGACTAGGCAATCTGACACCCGTGAATCCTATAGTTTTATTCTGTCACGCTTGAAGGTTATCGGCGCTACAGTTATCATAGTTATGTACATACTCTTAATTTTGGGTTATCCATACTTGCTGGACGCCATCGAGATAATACGCCCTTGGACTTTTAATATACAAGGAGCAGATATCAACCCAGCGTACACCAGACACCAACTGACACTTTTAAATCGAATTTGAACATGTGTGGCAAATTTTTAACCTAAGCTTAGTCTAAATGTTTTTAATGTTTTGAAAATTTCAAATAAATATGGAATGATGCGAATCAAGACTGTATGATGCATACTTTATATATAAGGCCTATAAGGATCGAAACTATTTGTACTTTTATGATAGAATTGGATATATGTGTAGATAGATGCATCTAGATGCAGTGTCGGCTTTTCGCTTGAGCGAGCACCTTCAGAATGCAAAACTATTGGGATTGAAAGCCCTATTATTTATGCATGTCGTCTACTTGCTTGCATTTCTCCCATATATCTGTTATTGAAATTTCTCTTAATGTATTTCTCTTAAATCACGGTATGCCGACATAAACAATAATTTTTCTGCTGCTCAAATGTACATACATACCTATATATATATATATATATGATCTTGCATGCTTGTAAGCATGAATGTATATTATCGGGCTGTTCGTTGATGTTTCCCATTATTCTTAGAACATATACACGTTGTTATTGTTTATTAGTTTGTTGTCGAATCAAGTGCAGCAGCCAAGAAAGAAACTTTTCAAGTGAACGAAGTAAAAAAAAAAAAGAATAAAAAATTTTAAAAACGTTTAGTTTGTAAATAACTTTTGTGATGTGATTACGGGTTGTACGGTAACGTGACAACATTGAATTAACGGATCGTTACAAAGCCATATACACGCGAGTTAAATTTGTTTTCGTTTTTGTTTAACTATTATGGATGGTGGGCGTATATGTATTGTTGTCGGTTATGAAATAAAATTTATAAATGAATTCCATGTGTGTTAGTTACCGGATATGAAGAAATTTTCTTTAAAAATTCAAACCATGTTAAGAGTGTTTAAGAAAATTCCGTAAAGCAATATATATATAATAAAAAAAACAAAAAAAAGGAAGAGAATCAGAAAATTCTATTATTGTTATATTCATAATAATTTTAAAAACGCATATACATATATTGTCTTGCATATGCATTTCAAAATGCCTTACAATGTGTAGTGCTTTTTTTATTTTTTATTAACCGTCAACTCTCTTCTTCGATATTAATGATCTTGAAACGTTGTCGTTGCACACAATTGCTGACACTGGTCTCCTCTAATATTATTTAATTTAATGTATGATATGAATGCATATCAAATGCTTCGATGCACATAAAGTCATTACAACTATATAGTGTATGATATTAAATGAGAAATGTACTTCTTAGAAGAATAATAGGCAAAAAGTGTAGCGTACACTGTACATTGCACACAGTTCCTATGTCCATATGAAATATTGTTTATAAGAGAAAACAATGGGTTATATATTATACGCTCAAGTTAAGTCAAATTTTCGTAACCAATCAAAAAAACAAGTAAGCCAGTTATACTCGCTTAACGATAATTCTCTGATACACCAACACATTAGAATTGGTAATGATAGTATAATACTTTGTTAAATGTCAATCGGAACCATTTGTTCTTTTAATCATGTATATTGTGTGGCATTGCACTCAGCCTGAGATCAAGATCCCTATCTCAGATAGATTGTAATTTAAAATTTCTTTTCCTATTGGGGGTGTAACGACATTCTAAATTTTTCCTGCTAAACATGTGCACACAACTTCACACCCACATGTGCTATCAATTGTAAATGTAATTGTATTTCGTGCAGTTCAGGCCCACTTTCTTCTCAAAGTATATATATTTCCATGCAGCAGCAGACAGATTTAAGGACGCTCGAAGGGACGGTCATGGCCAAGCTAGCGTAGAATTTCAACTTCTTCTTTTGCGCGTGTTACAAACGGAATGATATTTTCCGTTCTTTCGTAAGGTTAGTGTCCACGAATTCGAAGCTCGCAGCGGTAGAGTGTACTTTGGCTAGAGTTATAGAGGGTCGATAAGGACACAACATTCACCTATCGGCCGCTTATCCACAAGGCTGTATCCACGACCACCCAATTTCTATCTCTTACCCCAAGTCTTTCTGAAAAGGTGACCATAAAAGAAATCAATACATTTTGTGTACGCACAGATTGTTCCAAATTTTACGTAAGAATTGAATTTGGCCGCCATTTGTAAAGTTAAGCGTTGGCAATGCCCTTCAAAAGAAATGCCCATCCATCCATTAACCCATTTTCAACTGTTTAAAATTCAAAATTTTGACGCCTTACCCTCAATCTTATAATATCCGTTTCGATTTTGAAAGAGCGGACAAGCCCACGATCAGTTATCTATCTTCATGTACATTAGTTCTATCAAAGTTATTCGAAGATCTCGTACCAGATGGACACTACACTATTCGTAATAGGGTATACCGATGCGGGTTATGTGAAATCATATGTTTTTATAGGCAATAACACCATCAAACCATGAAAATCGAATATTTTTTAAAATTTTTAAATTAGTTTTCCAAAATTCTTCTAAATGTGCTTGTCATTGTACAATATTTTGGTAGAAGAATAGAATTTTGAACACAAGATCACAAGATATCTTTTTTCGTATGATTTGGGGGATTTAACGACCGTTTATTCGTTGAAAAATTAATGCCGAAGCGTTTTCTTATCGCCTTCTCCTCTTTTACGACTACAGTCACCGATCACAATGCCAGAATATACTCGTTAGTATTATTTGTTCGAATATATGCCGTACATCTGCTATCTAAACCCGATCTCCCGACCCGTGGTTATGTTTGAAATTAAATGCCGTAAAAGACCCTCCACACCAACACCCGTCAGCTGACATGGTAATCATTGTATTGTTTGGTGTACATTTTGTATTTCAACAATGAAAGATTTCCGAACACCGTGGATACTGCAGACGCGTATAGTAATGATTATTTGGTTTAGTGAAGCATTCGTTGATGGCGGCGTACTGTTCACGATGATCAACTAAAACTTTCAATTTTTAATAATTTTGCGTGAGAGTAATGCAAACGTAGTGGCTGGAGTATATATGTGTGCTTGGTATATATCAATTCAAGTGGAAATAACACTTGAAGTGTAAAAATGTACAAATTTGAGATATCGATCTGTAAATGAAATTTTAGTGCGGTAGCTACGCTCTTAATGCTCTTTTACAAATGCTTCTTTTTATTCTTTTTTTTTTTGAACACCTATGCATGTTTGTACGCATAGCTGTTGTTGCTGCGAAGCGTAGTTAACGCTGCAAGAACCTGATCATTGAACTTGATTGCTTAACATGGATTTTTGCTTGTGAAAGGCTCTACTTTTCTCTCCTGCATAACTCCATTCGCCAATTCGATTCCTTTAATGGCAAAGTCGTCATTGCATTATTGCACCCATTACCCGATATATGATCGTATACTAGTTTTGTCGTTTTATTTGCGACAAGCATACTCGCTCCCCTATTCATATTTTTCAGCTCACGTATATTGCTGTGAATGTGTGAAGTATGTAGTAAAACAAAATCTGCGGTTACCGCATCAGCATTCGAATCGGAGAATTATAAATTTTGAACTAACGGAAGTAGTTATGACGTTTAAAAGCTGGCGGTTTTATTAACACCCATAAAGGATGCGATAAACTATTTACATTTTGAATGGAAGTCTATTTCTGACATTGGAATCTTGATGATTATCTTACGTAAAATAAAACTTGATGAATACGTTCTTAGTTCAGTTGAAATGGGCGTGATTCTATCTATAAGCACGCTCGCAATAGTTTCAGACAACCTGCACCGGAGCCAAATTGTGTTCGTTAAACGGGATTTCAGATTTTGAATTAAATTTTAGTTGGAATTTTGGTGCAATAGGTATTGCAGTCTTCTTATTTTCTTCTCTCTCTCTCTCTCTCTATTTGTTATCTCAAATGTACACTTTAGTATGTATGTATGTATATATTTAGGCGTGCGATGAGAAAACGTATGAAGACCGCTCCCATTTTAGCACAGTACGCGTCTTTAAGCCATGGTAGGGACTGGTCCTATGACACTGCATATGAGCCTACGCTTGCGTTTCTCATTTCATTGTTTTTTCAGCAGGCTTGCGGCAACGACTCCCACCCCTTTCCATTTTTTTAAGGTCGAGACCTACCTCAAGTTCTTCTGGCTGTTGTTATAATATCAATATTTATGTTTACCGATATATGTGATACCTGTATATATGATTTGATGGCAGATCGTAATGTATATCAACAACACTTTTGATCGTAGGCGTGTCAAAGGTGGTCAACTTACCTACCGCCAACAATAAGCAATAACAAATTGTTTTCACTCCTTAGGTAGTGGGTATTTAAGAGAGTTGGTTTTGAGGCGCGAGTATAACATTTTTGTAGTTGTTCCGATTATATATAGTCGTCTTTTGCCACGATTGTATATACACAGAAATGTTTGCATCTCTGGTACATCTGCAACGAGACTCACATGTATCTTCTAGCAAATGTTTAGTTTGGGGTACGCACACATACAACATGGTATTCTATAGTCAATATATTGAATATTTTTGTTCTGTTGTCTGCTTTGCACTAAGCATAATTCTTAACGAATCCATTTTCAATTTTCGTGGATACACTTTAATATTTATTCTCATTGTATCTTTGGTCTTTACGTGCTTCTCTTCTAATCATATGCAAATATTTTATAGCATCACTATACCGTTATGCAGAATTTATATGTTAAATCTTTGCGCCGCTATGGCTATGATGAAAGCAAATTGTTGGCATTTACATATGTTTTGTATGCTTGATTCCACGTTAGCAGCATATACAACAGATTGCAAGGTGCTAAGGATTTTTTGTATATATATAAATTCTTCCACCTAAAGTTGATAATGTTGCGAAATTTTATTTGGACTCCCACCATGAATTTGCTTTCTCTATTCTATCCTCCTCTTCATCAGTCAAGCACAGTGTCAGTTATTGAATAGATGAGTATGGGATCTAAATAAAATACATTTTTACTTTTCACAAACCATACAAATTGTTGCTGTGAAGTCTAGAGTTATGCTCAATAAATTAGGTACATCACTGTACTTAGCATATTATTTCCTAAATTAATTATGTATTCGTGTAAAAAGGCAAACGATTGTCGCACTGGTTAAAGGAAATTGATGGCAAAACTGGTCGCATACAATATTATGGTGATGGTCGAAATTGGAGCAGTGAGTTTAAATGATCCCTCAAATAGTCGAGAATGAACAATTGTGGGCGTGAAGAAATTTGAAGTGCTCAAAACTTCCGATTTTTCATATATATATAATAATCATACGGCGGTATATAGGTACATGAAATTTTAAATGCGTCCTTCTCGAAATACGATTTTTGAAAACGGCAAGCAGCATAACTTAAGCAACTGTTATTCTCTATTAAAACGTGTAGAAATTGTTGGATAAGTTGAAAAGAAAAATTTCAAAAATTTGTTCAAAATAATTCTGGAAAGGCGAATTTGAATTTGTTTAGCCTATTTGAATGGAATTTTCATATACGTTCATGTAATTTATGTGATTGTAGTTGGAATTTTCTCGTTTGGGTGTGTTAAACGTTAAAAGCTAAGTCAAATAAATACGCGGAGTCCACCTAACTATTTCCGTCTGCTCGTCTGTCCGTCTTTCCGTTTCCCGCTAGCGAGAATGAAGATGTGGCCGATAAAGTTGCGTAAAAGAATTTGCAACTTATCTAGGATTTCCAAAGGATACGCCTACATCGCCCATGCGCCTATGTAACAAAAAAATCGTCATTTTGAAAACAGAAAAAATCAGGCGCGCTCGCTCCATATTATAGAGCATGAAAATTTAGTTCTGCTTCTTTTACTTCTTTTTGTCTTTTTTAAGAGAACCGTGATGGGTATCAAATTATCGATTAAGATCGACTATAATTTTCTTACTTGGTTTTTTCGGTGACTGTTAATATGTAATTTTAAAGAATTTGGTAAAAATTATTCCCTCTTGGGAGGCGGAATTTGAATTTTAGCTGTAGCTGCTTTGAAAGGTACTTTCATATAGAGTCATGAGATGTGCACAAAAATATTTTAAGCTTTGTAGTTTGGACGGAGTAGGCTTCCAAGTCCAACCATATCTTAATCCTTACTACTTAACAGAGCTATGTTGACCCGTTTCCAGAACTCCGTTAAGGCAGCTGGTCGGTGTCGTTGCTAGTGTAATTCGAATTGATCTTCGCACTCTTCAATTTCTTCCATTCAAACAGGCGCCAATAATACGCAAAATCAACACTTTCAAAATCCCCTACGTATTTCACTAGATGTGAAGATGTGCACTAAATGATTATTTTTGCTTTCAAGTTCAAAAGATGGTTCCAGAGAACGACGGTAGTGTTGTCATTTTTAGTAGTTTTCGAAATTTTTTCTCTCAAAAAAGAAAAAAAAATCCTTTTGTTGTTAGTCTGTTACAATGGTCTCCAATGGATTCCCTAAAAAATCGCCCTATAAAATAAAATATATACACTGTAAGGGCCCCTGCAGAAGTTTACACATCCGCTTGTTTTGGTCTGATAGTAAAGCGTCTTAGTTTCTATGCTTCTTACGATGATGTCGGAGATTCCTCGTCATGTAAGATTGCACTCGTCAGAGATTTTAAACCAAAAGTCGAATAAAATGATATCAACCTTCACGTCCCTTTGAATTTGTCACATTTATAGTTCAGTTTATTGCAAAGTGTCATACAATAGATCTACATTTTCGTAGCCGATTTAGGTAAGTTGCTTGATTGCAACTTGAGCCATCATTTCAATTAAGTTTTTTTCTCTTTGTTTTCTTTAATATGGTCAATTACTCCGGGGCGGTCCCGTATCCGTCTAAAACGTTGACGATCAGAAAGAAATAAGGATGAAGAAAGAGGTACGGAGGAATCGGTGGCCGCAGTTTAGTGGGTGTGAGCCCAATCGAGAAGAAGTCTTAAGACCTTACCGAGCAAGCGCTCTTCATAGAAACACTGGGTTGGTAGTTGCGATTCTTACCTAGTCTGTTGCCCTTGTAAAGCTTACTCTTCAAACATTGGGGAAGTAGGAAGTTAACAGAACGTGTTTTATCAACATTTGTTGCATCTTTTCATACACTAGTGGCTGTCAGCCACTCTTTCTGTTTAACCAGAAATTTCGCTTAAGAAAAGATTTCACTGTGACACTGTCAGCTGTAACTGTTAACATTTTGGAGTTTCGTATTTTATTGGATCTTTGAATTTTATCACATTTTTCAGATACACTTCAGTTAATTCACGCACCTTACTTTGTGAGTTATGCAAGTGAACGGGTAGGAGTAAAGAGTTTGTTTGTAGAATTATTTTCATCGTCTGCGGCAAACATGCAAAACTAATTTTTTTATAATGCAAATTTATGACACGGATTCGTTATCTCAATGCATTCAAAATTATCCCAATATTCGATATGCATAGCTATAAAGAGAAATTAATTTTATTATTCTGCACGCAATGCATGCAAATACTTTGAAAAAAACGTGAACAAATTGTACATGTTCACGAAACGTATCCGTAAAAGGAAGAATTTAAATGATGCTCTTAAAAAACAATGTGGTAAAGGTGGTATTTTCTATACTTAGAAGGCAATCGTTCGCTAACGCCTTGTCACAACTTATCGTAACTAAGACTAACCAGAGTGTTGAGGGATAAATTAATCTATTTATTTGACTGTTACCTATGAAAATGCCTAATGGTCGCAGCACTAAGGACGTATACCAAGGAAGAATATTTCCTTCCTTTGATTACAACGTAGTGTTTTTGCAGAGTTCCTATAAGTGATAGTTTAGTATATAAATCTATAGAATGCCAATAAATGTTTCTCCTTTTAAAAGGTTCTGTTTTACGCGGGGCTCCACGGTTCCTTTCAAACTGACCATTACCAATGTCGATTGTAATTTAGCCGCTTTGATCTTAAAAACAGTCTCCCAATGCCTCGATTTTAATACTTTCGACAGATTTGTAACCGGGGTTTAACGTGGGTTCCTGCCATGATGGCTTAACTCCACGGTGGCCCAAGTCACTTTAAGCGTAATATATGCCCCCTGGCGAGTAAACACAATCCCTACAGAGTAGGAGCCTAAGCAGCACCAGAGTCCAGAACAGTTTATTGCGACAATCGGAAACATTCGTTTCTTCTAGAGTTCCATACCCTTTAACAATAACTTGTCGTTGTAGTGTTTATGTTTTGCTAAACTTTGACCGCGTAATTCGTGGTGCAAGCTTTAAACTAGAACGACACCATTGCCCATCTAATGGTTGGTGCTGAGAAAGTTCCGTTAAAATGAAAACTTCATTACATATGATTGTAACTGATTTCATTGTTATGCGCTTAGTTTTGTTGTTATTGTAGGAAAACAAATTTCAATTCACTTAAAAATATATGAAATGAAAAAACAATATGAACACAAAATTTGCGAATAAACGAATAAAGCATAGTTTTACCATATACCGAAAAGGGTAAAATAAAGTTTCTGCAAACGCTACACATAGATTACGTGCGTTTTAATTACGCCATTTCCATGCAATTTCTCCGCACGTGTTGTCACATGAAATGAATTTGATTGAAAAGAAAATGTAAAAAATTTCAAATAAAAAAAGTACAGTAAATGAATTTTGATTTCATTCATCAATAAGTGAAGAAATGCAATGAATGACGACGATATGAGCAGGATTGTTTGTGAGCAGAATGAATTTTAACAATATCCTAAAACTATGCAATAAAAATCGACATGACATCTGAAAAAGTTATATTGCGGTAAGTGATTGAGTTGATTAAGTTTCAAATTAGTAGAAGAGGGCTGTATCTCTATATGACTTTTTAATAGGTTAGGGGTGAAGTTTGGACACAAACCAAGCTAGAACTCTTTCAAGTTCTAATATCGAATACTAAAGAGATGCAAAGCATGCAATAATTTATTTAGAAATTAAATTTAAAACTTAAGACTTTTTTCTTCTTTCGCTCAAAATATTTTATAACACATTCTTAATCGTCAAATGAGATAAAAGATTTCCTTTAGATGGTATGCAATTTTATGGTTAAATGTTGCGAAAGGACGGAAGCAAGAAAGAAGACAACATTATAGCCATTTATAATCTCGTATTTTAGTCGTTGGCATTATCTAACCTTCAGTAAACCGCAAATAACTTTGGTTTGTATAAAATATTCACTTTTTCTTTTTTCTTTTTTTTTCTCTAAAGTACGTAAATGCTTACAATGACTTTTGTTTACGCTTCTATTGCCGGAACAAACTATATATTCTCACACCTACAAATTGTTTCTCCTTCCTTTTGTAGACATTTACGTGAATGTACGCAAGTATTTTATACATAAAAGAATAAAATTACTCTTCTATTCGGGGTTACGTTGATCTTTGACTATATGGTAGTTTGCCTAAATTGCAACGATTTGTTAACAAGCAAAGCAAGACTATTACTTCAGTCTTATTGTTGAACCGTAGTATTCTGTTAAGCGTTAGCTAATGGTATGGGTTAGAAAAAAAGGAAGATAGAAAATTATATTCAGCAATGGCCGAATCTTTTTTGCCCTCAAATTTTAAAAAAATTAAAATTCGATAGTGTTCTCTACTATAATTTTGTCTTTGGTCCAGTTTTCGGCCCCCTTTCGATACCAACGTAACCGAAAGAAATCTTAATAGTTTGTTAACTTTGAAGGCGATAACTTAATTTTTGCGACCAGAAAAATGTTTATTACACAGGCTAAGACAGACGAGCAGACGCACAGATATTTCTATATCAATACACATGAACACAGACGAAACGAGGACAGATGGACGGATATGCTTATGTCGATTCAAAACTTAGCACAGATTGATATTATAAGATTATATATAAACGCTTCGACAAATTGAACATATCGAGAATTCAGGCCAGTGGGTATAAAAATCATAGAAAACTGAAAGTTTGCTTACACTGAATTCATGCAAACATTCCTTTTTCTGTTTTTTCGTTAATATTTCGCTTTCGTTACGTTTCTCCCTGTGAAAGACGTCTTCTCGAATTAATCGGCAAGCGCTGCATGAAAGACTAGTTTAACTTTAAGAAATTTTATTGATAGACTCTAAAGAGAAAAAACTCCTTGCATATCAGCAATAAAATGAAGGCTTTTGGAGATGCTGTGTTCGCGATGGCACTTAATAAATGGCATTAGTAGCGTCATTATGCCGATCGATTCAGAGTTACTTTCTAAACTTTTCTGTCAGTCCATCCCTTTTGTTCTCTCGCATTCAACGTACACGCCATCATTTTTGATATATTTTCATGAAATTTGGTACACTAACGTATTGTTACGAAAATCCCAAATTCAGTAAATGTCAGCTAAGTAATTTTCGTAATAATAAATTCCCTAAAGAAGGAAAAACCAAATGAACATTCGCAGGCGCCTCATGCATCTGCAGGCCGATGAAAACGATTAGCGGAAAAGCAGTCAGGTAAAAGCTAAGTGCACATTCGCAGGCGCCTCATGCAGGTGCAGGCCGATGGAAACGATTAGAAGAAAAACCAAGCTGAGATTAGAAATAAAACCATAAACTTAGGCATAGAATTTGTAGCAAGGGTTTATCGTGGGTTCCTGCCTGAAAGGCTTAATCCCACGGTGGCCCAAGCCACTTTAAGCGTACTACGCCCCCTGGCGAGTTAGACAATCCCCACATAGTAGGGGCCTAAACAACACCAGAGTCCAGAATAGTTTATTGTGTATGGAACAATAAACCTCACTCTGGTCAGTGATGAGGCCTAGCTGCACTCGACTGTTCCACAACCACAGCCACCACGAGTACTCCCCGAAGGGCCGCACCCAAGCAGTCAGGACTCACAAATTGATCAACGCTCGCTTCCGCCATATTGCTTCCACGGCGCTGTTGATCAATTACCACCATTACCCGCAGGCATCCGTGACATATGTTCAAAAGTAAAAATAGGCAAAAGGGGAAAAAGCCTTTCCGTCAAATTCCTTTTTTCATTTTTGCATGTATTAATTAATTAATTCTCGAGAGGGTTTTTAATAATTGGCCAAAGGGAAGGCCGTCCGTCAATTCCTTTTTGCATTATTATTATTCTTTAGTAAAAAATTAATTTATTTCATTACGACTTTATGAACAAAGTCCATCGTATACCCGCAGGCATACGTGGCTTTGTGAGGCGAGCCTCCTGACCCCCGTGGATCCCAGTTTGTTTTACAAAGCCTTTGGCATACTTTGGGCGGATGTTAAAAACAACCGTACTTGCTTCGGATTCACCATACTTCCTTGGTTGCCAACACCATGAACTACTTTTCTTCGAGATATATAGGTCTCGGGTATTGCACTGACATTGCAGAGTGATCTACCATGCACTCGCCAGATTACTACCATCAACGTACTTAAAAACCATTCATTCATATATTTCCTCGGTAGTAACCAGCTGTTGAGTGAAGAGCTCATCTTCCAGCCAACTTAGGTATAGTAAGATGCTTGTAAAATTGTATATAAATAGAATATTTGTGAAAAGTAGGGTTAGTCGGGCAAGAACATTTGAGCTGAGAGTACGGCTTAATTAAATTGTGAATAATTGTACTGTTAAGAAATGCAATTGTAAGTCAATACTCCTACTGTTGTAAAAGACAAAGTAGTAAAATAAAAAGACTTTGTATTTGTGTATTTCTCTTGATCAAAATATCCACGATCTAGTGATACAGACTGTATCTAGTAAAAGCGAATTTCATAAGAGTATTTTGGCCCAGGGACGAACGTTATTGACAATGGTTCGGATTAGAGCATTTCTCCGACCAGTTTCCATGCAACGCCTTGTTTTGAAAAGTGTTTATATGACTAACTGTAGGGTAAATATAGAATATTTAACGATGGGTCCGATGGGACGTGGTCCGTTATAATGTTGTTACATGTCTAAAAACAAAACAATATATAAATTTTTGTTTGTATTGCGTCACTCTAGTGGGAGTATTAATTAGCATTTAGCGAAAGGACATCACTTTTTGCTTCTTTTACTTGATGACAGAACGAATACGAAGCTGGGTTTATTAATAGATTTCTCATAATTAATTCATTAGATGACATGTCATGTGCTCAGTGAATTGAATTCGTCAAGCATTGTCACTGTTGACGGTCGTTCCAAGTCATTTTCTGGATTGAATCGAATTGTTTTCACGATCATTCCACGTGCGAAGCCGAACTTTGAAAACACAAAAGTTACACGAAAATTTTGTAAAAACAAGTAAAAACGTTATAGTCGGAAAGGCCGATTGAGTCCATTTTTAATATCAGGCAGATGGCGTGAGTTTTCAATGTTGCAGCGAAATTTGAAAGCGATAGCTTCATTTTTTACGGCCACGAGAATGTTTACAATGGACATCACATAGACATTACAATTGTGCATAAACTTTGACTTGGCTCACGGCTCGTAAACAAAGTATTAGATGTGATGCTGCATTAAATGAAAAATGGGCCCGTTATGCGAACTTGAAAAGTTCTGGTTTCGTAGCTATTGTAGAAGAATTAGTTTTGACCCAGATGGGCCTTTCTTAGAGAGACCAGATAAAAAGTTCTCCTTGTCAGGCAATTTTTTTCCCCCGACTACCTATGGATAGCGATCGAAACGAATGTGGTCAATACGAATTTGCGACTCATTTTCTTAATTTACTGATGCCGTTTCTTTGTACTTCTCTTGCATTACATACAACATTTAATTTAATAATTTATATTTTCCTTACAGACGTGAACAGGCGGCTAAAAATGGTGAGGAATATAGAGCACCTCCTCCTCGGGTACGGGGTCAAAGCACCTATTTAACGGTAAGCGTAGTCATTAATAATTTACTATTTTCCTTCTGATCTGTTCAAGTTCGTCTTTAAGACAATGAATACTAATGAATACTAAAAAATATATCACTGTAAGCATAAATCTTGAGATCGCACCGTTTAAGGTGAATTTTTGAACATCGTTACAATTACATCATACTAAAATCAACGACTATTTGTAAGGCATGATATGTAAGTCCTTGATCAACATGAATCGCGGAACCGATTTCTTAAAGGAATTTGGGTCGAAATTTTTTCTTCTCATTTGACGCAGCTTGAAGTTAAATAACATAGCGATCGATTGTTTTGTTTCTTTAGCGTGAAGACGCTCTTAAAACATCTGCGTATGTCTTAAACGATTTTCAAACGATTTAATAAAAACTGCTAGACTCTACATAGAACTGGTGTTTCTCTCGACCGCCTTATACGGCACTTTTCATACTGCGTTGACTTTTCTTGACAACGCATCCTGAATTTGTAAATAATTTTTCAAATTCTTATTTTATGGATGAAAAAAAAAAATGCGAACATTAATCAAAGAAACTATTTAGGTATTTTGTCATCTAAGAAAAAAAAAGAAGATGCACTAACACACACCAACCAAATCGTTTTATTGGGATTTGTTCTTAACATATTCCAATCGTCCACTCGTCCTAAAATTGGCCGCATTGGCCGTTCTTCAACTCTTGGATTACTCTACAAGTAATGGTCTTCTACATCGTTCCAGATGTTTCTACTTTCAAGTTGAGAGTACGCGATTATTTTCCTCTTTCTCTGAATGACTCTTCAAAGGAAAAACAAAAAAAAAAGGAGGCATTGTAAAGAAATTACTATGAATGCAATATGATTAAATCTTTATAAATTTAATGAATAATATATCGAAATAATTTCAAGTTAGATTCCAGCACAAATCCGGTTGGAAATATTTCTTTTGCATAAATTTTACAATTTTTCTTTGCTTTATGTAGACCTCGGCAAAAACGTCGCTATAATAAATGAAATTTTGTACATTTATCAATATGGCTTTTAATGGCTGTATTTATTAAGAAGCAGTGCCAAACTTTAAAAATACCTTCGGTCTATTTTATGGTATATAAGATATCTCAACAAATTCGTATGATCACTAATAAAACGATAACTCTTAGGCGAAATTCGAGTTTCTTCATTAGCATAACTTCTTTTAAGAGTAATATTTTTAATTTATTTCAACGCCTCCCCAGCACTTACATGACTTTTTTATACAATGATTTATGCAAGCACTTCACATAATTTTGCCATGTGTATGGATGGACTTATGACACGGCGCACTGTCGCGGTCAAGGAGCATTGTGTTCCTCTCGCTAAGAATTCCATATTCACTATTGATGCTCTTTGCCCTTTTCAAAATAATCGTTTCAAAGGTGAGCAAGCGTTATATCCACTTCATGCAAAATAGTATTTTCTTCTTCTTCTTCGCTTTCCGATACTATTAAGGTGTCAGCTATCTCGATCAATTTCGCTTTCCAGCCTTTAATGTTTTCTGGTCAACATAGCGCATTTGACCGATCAGAGCGTTCAGCATCATTGGTGTTTGTATGGCCGCGTTTGAAATCGTGTTTCGATAGAGCAGAGTTCAAATATCATTTGTCAAGCCATTCCTTGATTTGGTCGGTATTTTTTTCGCGTTAAAAAGCCATGTTTTAGTAACACGTAAAGCTTAAGATGTTCCCATTGCGTTGAGAACAACAAATGTAGCGTCATTAAAATAACTATAAGGTGAAAAGGAATCTGAACAAAATGTTGACATATTTCGCTTGAAGCTTGGTCCTATCTTAAGTTTATATGGATACATTAATTAATAGTGGCGATATCTATATGTCATCCTATGAACTTATTGAATGATGTGCCATATTTATACACCGAAACTGATAATGGTCTTCAACTTGTTAACGTTATATGGAAGTGTACATATATATGCATAGACGATGAAATACATGATACAATTATCGTAATTTATTAAAACGTTTTTTGCGCTTAGAAGGAACTAAATATTCTATTCAAGTCGAATATAGTTTCTCTTCTCCTCTTGGTTTCTTGGGATCATAAAGAAAACTTATGATGCTTAAAACACTGACTACATCATCATTGTAGGATCGTAATTTAAGCTCAATGCTTTAAGGATTGTGAACGCTATGCAGAAAATTATATTGCATCACCACCAGTAAACCCTAGAGCAGCTAAGAGAGATTTCCAGAGTCGTTCGTTTATAGGCAGTCGTTCAGGCCATTAGTAAGTGTATGATTTCGTTTTTAGATATATTAGAAATATTAGGATATATATATATATATGTAGAGTGAAAGGGAATTCGGTTTAAAACTTATTTTCGAATTTTTTTTTCTTCTGCTGAAATATTCAAAATGATTAAGATGTTAAAAAAAAAAAAATTCCGTGGCCTTTTTTCAATATTCTAAAACTGAAGCTCATGACAAATGAGATAAACAGCAAAGCTAAAGACCTGAATGTGTAAACAGAATAATAAAGTAAACGAAACTAACAAATGAATGAGACCGACCCTGACATGATATGTATGTAGAAATGTTCGTATGTTATTCGTTAATAAAAAGAATCGTTCCGCAGCAGAAACAATAAAATAAAATTAAAAAAAAAAAATAATGTTCTTTAGCGGAACAATGAAGCGCGATCAGTCTCTATGGGAAGAGATTTTTTAACTCTAAGCATATTATTGTATTTTACAAGCACACACACACACACACACACACACAAACATATATATATATATATATATATATATATATATGTAGACATATGTCCGCCTGTATTTGCACTGCTCATAAATGTTTGGAGACTGTTTATAAATTTTATAAAACAACAACAAGAAACACATAAGAAATGATTTGCATGTGTGTTTAAGGCGTTTATATATGGTTGATCGCTAACGACAATATGGTAACTGACGGCAATTGAGCAATAAAACACAAGTTTATATACATACACTCTGCGCCGCACCAATTGTTTTTTATTTTCATTTCATTTTTCATATATTTATATATATATAATTCATATATATATTCATTTGCGAAATCTCCTCAGGGGGTCTTCTCTTATGTGCACTAAACAAACTAAAATGACACTTGACTTCTGTCAGACAATGTTTGGCCAAAATGCATGAGGTTATCAGCAGCTTTGTTAACTTGCAATACCGTCTCCGCATTGAACAATTATTGTGCCATCATAAAATAATTTAGAAACTGTATGAAAAAAAACTCGCAACTGTAAACGCTTCGGTTACTGTCTTATGTTAAGCGTGTACGTAAAATGAAAAATATGCTTATTCATGTCTATGTCTACATCCGTATGGCATACGCTGTTGTTTGCCACCAGCCTTTTTTTTTTTCTTTTTTAATTCATTGCCTCATGTAGTGTATTATTTTCAAATGAAAATTTCTTAATTTATGCTTAATTCGAATTAAATTGAGTGTTTTTTGTTTTGTTTTTGTTTTTGTTTTTTTTTTTTTTTTGTTTTCTTTGTTTACACCGTTAACATCGATTATATGCGGGTGTGTCGTTGCTAAGTAGCTTTTCGAAACGTGAAGCCACGAGAAGACCTTTGACAAATCTTGAGGTAATAAAAGATAATCGCTGCTCTATGCGAAAACTATAAAAGCAACTTTATAATATAACTTGGATTCCCTCCCTCCTTTTATATGGTATGTTACATGTTTTTGCAAATTTTGTTTTTGTTTTCTTTGTCAAGAAATTTACTTAATTAAATCACACCTATTTGTCTTTAATTCGAGAGAGGTCATTTATTCACTTATCGCTTATTAGAGAGAATAACAATAAAAAGTTGTGAAACGGGCAATATTCACATAAACACAATTATATGTTATAGCTTTGTAAGAAATTATAGCCGGCTAACATGGAATATTTTGATATCTTGATGCTTTCATTGTTAGAATTGATTCGCGGAATGTTCTTTGGGAACTTTTCGACTTTCTCTCATTGATGGGATCAAAACGATCCAACGGGAACGCCAGAAGTCAAACGAACGGACAATTGCCGTATAATATATATTAAGTTTCCTTTGCAAACATCAGAGAGTTCAATAATTGCAACTTATTAAGTAGGACCGATATCAACTATGAAAGGATTGTATAATGTAGAAGCTTCAAAGAGAACTCCCTCTGCAGCCAAGCTTATTAAAAGCACGCACATGCCTTCCGAGAGCGAGCGAGGACCGCATTATTGACATTGTAAGATAAAATCCAAGCGCTATTTATCTGCCCATAATACTGGCCGTTCGGCTCGCGCAAGCGGAAGATAACGCTTAAATTGTGTTTTTTGTTAATATTCGACCCTGCGAAGGCAACTAATCAAACAATGCACTACACCGACAACAAGTTAGTCTTAGTACGTTTTGGCTCTCATCATATTCTTGATCAGATCAGTGTAAATAATCGAGCTTATGGAGTTATGTTCTCTTCTTTTTCTTTCACTTTGCCGTTCGAACATTTGTCTCTTTGCTGTCTTTGAAATGTTGGCCCGCAAGTGAAAACTGAGGACTAAACGAATCGTCCTGAACGCATATGCTATTGGCGAGGCTGTAGTACGTGCGGAAAAACGGAAAAAACCGACCGCGTCTACCCAAATCTCGTCTACAAATGTTCCTCTTGTCCTTCGGTGATGGGTATAAAAATTATTATTATTATTATTAATTTAATCAGAGAATAAATTCTAAGATTAAAGTCTTAAAGGACTAGCATCGCAGGTTATCTGGCTTTATTAAAAACTCTACCACATTTGAGATTGAGTTATTTAGCTGATTTACAATTATTACGTTTTGGGTTAAGCTATAAAACCGATTTGAATGGCCTTACTGCTAGTCCTTAGCTATTGCTTACGACATCATAAAGATACACTACATAAAGATTCACTTCGGAGGAAGACTCATTTATCACTCATCACACACAGAGTAAACTCACATAACACTCTAC